ATTGTTGAGATAGTTGATTATAACCACCAAGCTTCATCTCATGAACATCCCCTGCTTAGTCCCTTAACACAAATTACAAAATATTTCAGATAATATTTCATCCTAATACTGCAGGGAACCAAATTATAATAGTTGTCATGATTACGGAATTCTGCTAAACTTAGAACTGACGTAATAATAGAAAGCTGTTTGCTGCATGCAAAACAAATCAAATGTGAATAACGTGCGTGTCTGATGATGATCTTTCAAACCCAAACTGCGCGTGGCTTTTGTAAAATTTGTTGTGAATTCCAAGAAAGTTTACTGCATGAAAAAAAAATCCTTTACAAAACATAAACTTTAATAAGCCTATTTGTTTGTCTGAATTGAAAGTCTTTATAAACAATTATAATAAACGCATAATGTTATTACAGTTAGAAATAGCAAGTAGTCATATAATTTTGTGTACAATTATAATATTTTTAATAATATTAATCTATAAGCAGGGTCATATGCTTAAAGAATTATCAAATTAAAAATAATAATTTCAGATTATAGCAAAATTACTCGTTCATCTAACACTGAAAAATTGAAACTTGTTTCCATGGAAACAACTAGAAATGGCAGCCATTTTGTGTGAAAGGAAAATGGATCAAAGTTAAATATGTTAGAAGCTGTATTCAATTTTTTGTTTCACCTATTACATATATTTAATATGATGTAACCATGGAAACAAATTTCTTGGAACACTAATATTTTAACTGAAAGCTTGTCTTTAATTCACAAGGGGAATGTAGGCAAACATAATTTCATTATGTCACAGCACACCAGAGTTTGCACAAATTTATTAATCCAGACATGCTAGTAACAATGTTCAGCCATTTCTGTCTGTAATATAATTGAAGACAAACTGTGCAATTTATAAAATTTACTAATTTGCACCTTTTATATATGAAATATAAATTAAAAACACTTTCCTCTATGACAGATCCCCAGAAGAAAAGCAGTAGTACAGCTATTGTAGGAGATAAAATTCTACCACCAGAAACAACATTATTATTTGAAATAATCATGAGCCAAAATTTCACTAAAGCAGTGAAACATTTCGTGATTTTCCTTGACCTCAAAATTAACAAAAATCAAAATTTATATCAATATTATTATACAATAAAAATACAGGTTTGAAAAGTCACAAAAAAAATCAATTCATAAAAGCCAGTCTGTCATTACGATCGCATGCAACACAATTCAGAGTGTTCAAAAGACCCGAGGCAATTGTTGTAAAATTAAAAAAATTTCAATACGAAATACAACCTATTAAAAAGGTTATAAATTTTTACAGACGAAATTTGATGAATTGAAACAGTAGTTTATGAGAAGACAAATTGTGATAAATATCATTTGTTTTGGATGTAACATCACACACAGGTGACAATAATAAATAGGTTATTTATATTTCCATCAAGCGTAGCTAATCAACATATATAAAAAATAAAATAAACAAAACGTACATTTCCTTCGTTTTAGTATCTGTTTATTACCTTGCGAGCAGTTGTGATGCAACATTTTGAGATAAAGCATTAAAATTTACTGATTGGCATTCATTTTATTAATATAATAGTGAGATTAAAAGCGAGAGGTAAAACGCATTCAATCTGTTACTAATGGGCTGTCCTTTATTTGTACAAATGCTTTATTTAAAAAAAAAACGACTACATATGATGTTATCAATCATAGTCACAATGCCATTATGGCCTCATTTCCAATTCAAATTTTATAATCCAGAATATATATTGACTCTTTGTTTTCTGCTACACACCACACTGTTCTGTCAAACAGAATAAAATCAACTAATATCAGATATGACAGTTTGAACAAAATTCATTTTATTTTAATATTTACCAATTAAGCAGCCTGGGGGAGGGGGCGTGTCAATATATTCAGAGTACTCAACATGATTCGAAGCTGAACTCTAACCTCCCTTTTTTTTTGCCATATATTTTGTTATCTCAAAAGAAAATCAAGATATTTTCTAAGACAAGCCTGTCGATTATTACCTAGTAAAACCTGACCCATGGAGCAAAATTCTAGCATATTCTGTATCAATTTTCAGTATCAGTATAGTAATCAGCATAGAAATTATTCTCTAAATTCATGATTTCAT